CGTGTTTTTAATAACAGCACTGTACGCTCAATATTAGTTGGTAATGGTAGTCACATTCCAGTTACAGCCTGTGGTACTAAAACCTTAACCCTCCCCGATCGCCAACTTTATCTTCATAATACCCTTGTTGCCCCTCATATTATTAAAAATTTGATATCCGTCCGCAAATTTACTATTGATAATAATGTCTCTGGTTAATTCGATCCAACTGGTTTTTCTGTGAAGGATCTGATTACGGGGACCCGTATTATGAGATGCAATAGTTCCAGGGAGCTATGCCCTATAATCGGCAATGTTGTCACTACCAACTCCACCCCTGTTTCTCTTGTTGTTATGTCCCCTGACCTCTGGCACAAGCAGCTCGGTCATCCCGGCACGACTGTTCTTGAGTTTTTACGTATCAAGTCTTTAATTAAATGTAATAAAAATAATAATTTCAAACTTTGTCATTCTTGGCAAGTTAGTAAACATGTTCGAAAATCGGTTTTTCCTACTGGCTCCAATACTACTGCTCCGTTTGATATCATTCACAGTGATTTGTGGACATGTCCACTTACTAGTAATACTGGTTTTCGTTATTTATCTTATTTTCATACTACCTCCGTCCCTTAAAACTTTGTCAAGTTTGACTGACACGGGGATTAATAAAGTAAAAACTGTGTGGTTGAGGTTTGTGCAGAGGAGAGAGAATTAACTGGAACTACAAATTCTTTACTTAAAAGAGAAAGTGACAAAGTTAGTGGGACATCCAAAAAAGGAAAGTTGGCAAAGTTTTAAGGGACGGAGGGAGTAGATGATTTTACCAACTATCCCTGAGTCTATCCTCTTAAACTCAAATCTCAAGTTTTTGGAAAATTCCTAGCGTTTAGTAAATTTGTACGCTCACAATTGAAAAAGACATAAAATATTTTCAGTGTGATTTAGGACGTGAATTTGATAACTCATCATTTCACACGTTTGCTAATGAACATGGTTTTGTTTTTCGGTTTTCATGTCCACAAACTTCACCGCAAAACAGTAAAGCCGAACGGATGATTCGCCTCATAAATGATATCACCCGTACCCTTATGACCCATGCCTCCATCCCTCCTAAATATTGGGTTGATTCTCTATATATGGCTGTCTATCTTCATAACATCCTTCCCACCAAAACCCTTGCCTTCCGCTCTCCTGTCTTAGCTCAATACCGCCGCCAACCAACATATGACCACCTCCGCATTTTGGTTGTCTTTGTTACCCAAACCTTAGATCCACTACTCCCAATAAAATGGCTCCTCGGTCCACTCGCTACGTCTTTCTCGGGTTTCCACCCCAACATCGCGGGTATCGTTGTCTAGATTTAGCTACAGGCAAAATTATTATATCTAGACATGTCACTTTTGATGAGTCAGTATTTCCTTTTGCGGACCAACCATCATCACCCACCTCATCTTACAACTTCCTATCATACCACCCTCTTCTATTTCATAACCTTACCTACCAAGAACCCATACATCCGCCACCTACCTCCCCACCCACCACTACTCCTCCACCCATACACACACAACCTTAAAATACTCTATCCTCATCCCCAAACTCACCATCATCCATCTTACCCCCCCCTCCTCCTACTCATCCCACTCACCCTATGGCCACTCGTGCCTCACATGGTATTTTAAACCTAAACCCATATTTTACCTTCATGTACAAACCCCTACCCCCATCTCACCTCAACCTCGCTCTCACCTTTCTGCCCTTCAGAACTCTAACTGGAATACTGCCATGAAAGATGAGTACAATGCTTTATTAAAAACACACACTTGGGATCTGGTTCCCCGTCCCGCTGGTGCTCATGTTATACGATCCATGTGGCTCTTTCGGCATAAGTTTCGCTCAGATGAATCCCTAGAACGTTATAAAGCCCGTTTAGTGGCAAATGGAAAATCACAACAGTTGGCATTGACTGTTTTGACACCTTTAGTCCGGTGGTTACGCCCGCCACGATCCGTACTGTTCTTACTATTGTCACATCCCGGGCATGGCCCATTCACCAATTGGATGTTAAGAATGTTTTTCTTCACGGGGACTTATCTGAAACAATTTATATGCATCAACCTCCTGGCTTTACAGATCTTGCTCGCCCATATCATGTTTGTCTTTTACACAAATCTCTGTATGGCCTTAAGCAAGCACCCTGTGCCTGGTTTCAACGATTTGCTACCTTCATTACTAGTTGTGGTTTTCGGGGCAGTAAGTGTGATTCCTCTCTATTTGTGTATCATTCTGGATCAGACACTGCATATCTCTTACTGTATGTGGATGACATTCTTTTATCTGCTTCATCTGATACACTCCTCGGTTGATTTATTACTTTGATGAAGCAAGAATTCTCCATGACTGATCTTGGCTCATTGCATCACTTTCTCGGTCTTAGTGTGACTCGCTCTTCATCTAGTTTATTTCTATCTCAGTCTCTCTACGCCCGAGAAATACTTTCTCGTGCCAATATGACCAACTGCAAACCCGTGACAACACGTGTTGATACCTCTTCCAAACTCAGTGCCTCATCTGACTCCTCTCCGGTTGATCCCACATTATACCGCAGTGTTATTGGGGCTCTACAGTATCTGACCTTCACACGACCGGATATCTCTTATGTTGTGCAGCAAGTGTGCCTATTTATGCATGATCCTCGAGAAGTTCACTTTCAAGCACTTAAGCGGATCCTACGTTACCTACAAGGCACAATTGATCACAGACTCTTCATCTCTGTTGGCCCTATCTCCGGTCTTACTGCTTACTCTGATGCTGACTGGGCCGACTGCCCTGATTCTCGTCGTTCTACATCTGGGTTTTGTATATTTTTTGGTGAGAATCTCATTTCTTGGTCTTCGAAACGACAACCTACTATCTCCCATTCCAGTGCTGAAGCAGAATATAGAGGGGTTGATGCAGTTGCAGAGTCTTGTTGGCTTAGGAATCTACTCCTTGGTCTACACCCCCCACAAAGTGTTACTATTGTTTATTGTGATAAACAATAAAGAGCCGAGAAGGCTTTAATTTCTTTGACGTCATATTTTTGTTATTAAATTATAGAAATACAAATATGCATTAGAATTTTCATATCTAATGATGAGTTTTTTATTTATTTATCATGAGGTGATACTGGTTTCACCGAGGTAACTCTCTGCCCTTAAGAACTAATCCCAGTCTTGAGAGATTTAGCGAGTGTTTGCCATTGCTTCTGCTTTTAAAAAAATGGATTTTTAAAGTGATTTTAGAGAAAGTGTTTTTTTTGTAAAAGTTGATAGTGTTTGGAAATGAAAGTGATTTTAATTAAAATGTAAAAGTTAAAGTGTTTGATAAAAGTGATTTTGGTGTAGAATATTGTTAAAATACATATATACCCTCAAATTATTATACAACAACCCACCCACTCGAATGTGCCCACTGCCGACCCCTTTTTCTCTTTCCCAATTTGCCTGCTACACCCGCACTTGAAGGATCGGAACAGAGGTGAGCCGCCACCGCCCACAACACTGCGACAACCTAGCTATAGAGGTGAGCCAGCGCCGCCCACTAGCACTCCGGCAACCTAGCTACAGACGTGAGCCACTGTCTCCCACCAGCACTTCGGCAACCTAGCTACAGTCTACTGCTTCTATGGGAATGGTTTTCATCGAGCATGATGGGATTTTCATATGGAATAAAAGTTAACAATGGGAATGGTATTTTGGGGTTTTAGGGATTTGTCTGCCTAATAACTGTCCTAAATGTTTGAATGATTTACCAAAATACCAAGAAGCACCATCTCCAAGCTTCTAACTTTTGGCTTTAAAATGCTTTTTTAAATTAGAAGTAGGATTTGGCAAAAGACCCTTTTTAGCTTTTTTTAAAGTTAAAAGTTGAAAAGCACTTAATTTAAGTAACAACAAACACTTCTTTAAATCCAAACTGCTAGATATATTCATTAGATTCTTTTAGCTGTCTAATGACATAATTAAACATATAAACTACACATCCGATCTCGTGCAACGCACTGATTAAGAATCTAGTATTAAATAAAAGGAAAATGAAATGATTAATCTTTCTCAAGGAAATCCAAACGAGATTTTATACTTTGCATTCATATTTATTTTAGAAGCATTCGTAAGGCATTTTATTAGGTCCTTGAAAGATTAGGCATTTTAGAAAACAGTCAAATAGGTCCTCGAACTTTCATAAAAGGTCAATTAGGTCCTTCTATAGGAGGTTCTGTCTGGCCGTTGCGATTTGGGGCAGTTCCCGGTGGAATTTTTTGATGAAATTTTTTGAGCTTCTTATTCACCAAGTCTAATTTACGCATACCAAAGTTCAGCTAAAAATTCAATCGGGAACACATTCAAATTAATTCTTGAAGATAACCTGGCATTTTTGCGTTCTCGAATTAATTTGAATGCGCTCCCGATTAAATTTTTAGCTAAAATTTGGTATGAGTAAACTAGACTCGATGAATAAGATGCTCAAAAAATTTCATCAAAAAATTCCACCGGGAACCGGCCCAAATCGCGACGACCGGACAGAGTCTCCTATAGAAGGACTTAATTGATTTTTTTATGAAAGTTCGAGGACCTATTTGACAGTTTTTCCTTTTATTTTTTGAAAGTTCATAAGGCATTTTATTCAATGCTAAAGTACAAAACCAGAATCATTTTCATTTTCTAATTTGGGTACATCTAAAAAATTGAAAAGTGTGCGGAATACACAAAAGTTGTACACATTTTCTTTACATTTGTCTATCCTCATAGACAAGTTGTCTGTGAAAAAGTGTACACTTTTGTGTACACCTGGCTCAACTCAAAAAAATTACGCGGCTACTTTTCTACTCCGTATGAAGACAACACGTGCCCCACTTTGTGAAGAGTGGAGTTAGGTGTACACAAAAGTTGTACACTTTTTGTCTGTCCACAGACAATTATGTAGAACTGTCTGTGGACGAAGGACTTGACCTGCGGATAGACAAGTGTACACAAAGTGTATAACTTTTGTATAAGCCATCCATTTTTCTTCTTTGAAAGCGCCATTCAACTTTTATCTCACGCATAAGCTTGTCATCATCCAAACAAACCTTCATTCATAGATCCTCTCATTTCTAGCTCTAGCGAAGATTCTATCTTTTCACGTATCTTGTTCGTCTAGTCTTTTCAAATTTCCAATACCCAGTATTTATCTTTAGGATTGCACCGTTTTCGAACACTTTCTGGATCTTGAATATTTGTTTCCAATAGAATTTGATTTATTTTCCACCTTTTGAGCTGAATCTATGGAGGTTTCGATCATCAGAAGCTCTGACGTGCTTCTCGGAAGGAGAGATTTGGGGTCTAGGGTAGTTGGGGTTTGTACTTTTAGCAAAACCTTCAATGCTAAGACCTATTCTTTTAAGAAGAAATCAAACGTGTGTTTGGGTCAGACTTTTACATGGTCTTCAAGAAAATCAGCTTGCTTAAACATCAAAGCCTCTGCTGCTGCCCTAACTGAGGCTGTTTCTGCTGATAAAGTTTGTGGAACAAGGAGATCTAGACCTGTAAGTCATCTTTCCTTGTTTTGCTGTATAACAATTTTTTTATGCTAATCACCTTTAATAGTTGTATTTGCTTTAACTGTGCTGGGTTAAAGCCATTATTTTGTTATCAATCTGCTGATCGTGCATAATTTATTGTACTGTAGATAAAGTGAGTGTTAGAGTTCTACATTAGTAATATTAAAGAGACATAAGATCTTCAACTAGCTAACCAATTCTATTGAGTTTTGTAGTTTGGTTTGAACTAATCCTGAATTTGCAATTTGCATCATACCATCTGAGTAGGTTTTGGTTGTTCATCCCATTGTTTGTAATTGCGCAATGCAATTGCGCCTCATGGCGCGCCTCAGCTAATTCCTGGACTAAGGCGTAAAAGGCATTGCATATGGCGCTGGGAGTGTGATGTACGCAATATTGCACTGAGGCGTACGCAATATTGGATACGCAATAAGGCGCTCTGAGGCGTACGCAATAGGAGGTCAGGGTGTAAGGGTATTATTTGGGCCCACACGGCCCACTTTTAAATTTTTATAATTGATCTTATGATCCCTATTTCAAACCAGTAGTTATTGATTGAATTTTTCAGTCAATCAATCTAATTAATTTAAATTTTCATATCTTAGATTTTTGTTTTGATAAATGATTCAGAATGTTTTGGTATTCCATGTTACTTTGCTTGGTCTCTTATGGTTTGTTTTAATATAACATTTGATGACTTTTGATGAATATGTTTATTTTTTATTATGTTTATATATATATATATATATATATATATATATATATATATATATATTACGCCTCAGCTATACGCCTCATTGCGCAATGAGGCTTACGCAATATGCAATATTAAAAAAACGCCACGACTACGCAATTCGCAATTTCGAACCTTGGTTCATCCTGAAGTCCATCCCCTTATTTCCTTGAGCGCTTGAGTGATACCATGAATCATATAAAAGAGCAAGCTTTGCTTTGTCAATTTAAGCTTTGTATTTTCTGTTTTTTGGAGCTTTTTCTAGTGTTATATATCTTTGTTGGATGAGAAATTGAGAAAAGGTAATCATATATATATCTTCTTTTTCACACTTTTGATGGACAGAATAGAAAAGGGACCAGTAGACAGTAGTTCAAAGACCTCTTGGGTCTAAAACTGTATGTGGATCATGTGGTCCTCTGCAATTAGCTATAAAATTGAGGGTAGCATACCTGAATGAGATGATTTTGGTAAAGAAGAAAAAAGACAATTCTTTTTCTGATTATAGGAATCAGAATCAAAACTTGATGGGTTGATTTTGTTTCAGAATATGTACAGTTGGGAGAACAGATTGCTTCAAGAATGTTTGCCGTCACTTTAGAGTTTGTAAAGTGAATCAGATTGAACTATTTCATAGTCCCCATTTTTATGTAGATCTGGGAATTAAATCACCAAAAGTAAAATGATAATCAAAATCCATTGACGAATAGAAGGAAGGGTGACCTTCTTTGGCAATTAATCTGTCTCGAGACATCATAACCACTTCCCGGAATTTTGTGAAGCCCACCGGGAAAAAACTGAATCTTTTAGTCTCTGTTTCCGGATACTACAATGCATATCAGTTTCAATAAGTTCATGAGGATTAGTCTTTTTCCATTGTTTTTGAATTATGTGTGGAGTTGTTTGAGTGAAATATTATGAAAGCTCAAACCTTTTAAGATGAAATACTATGTCTCTTAGAACAATTGAGTGGAGCGTATTTTGATTGTTACTAAGTTATAGAAAAAAGGTTTCTCAACTTGGAGCCCAACTTTTTCTTTTCCTAAATAAGTAATGAAATGTATGGACCTGGACCCCTAGGCTTTCTGCTTTCGTTCTATTGGGCTTAAAGAGTGGGCCTATATATATTCTTGGACCGGATTTGGAAGAGTCGGGTCTGGTGATTCTAGACCAGGTTATAGGCTTGGTCTCAGTGGGACACGGGTGAGGCTGAGGAGGAGTACCCTGCATGTCCACATCACCTATCACTCCTATCCGGATGATTGCAAGGGGCACATGCACTGGATTGGGGAGCGCCAAAGATTCAGCAAGTACGAGGAGGACAAAAGTCGTCATCTGGTTGATCACTAATTATTGTAAGACTTTTACAACAAGGGAAAGGACACCTGTTGCGCACACAGCCAGCTTAGCTTAGCAGATACTCCCTCTGTCCTAAAATAATTGTTTTGTTTGCTTTAGCACAAGGTTTAAGAAAATGGTTTAAAAGGTAAAAGTTGTGGTTGAGATTTGAGTAAAAAAAGGCGAATTGATCTGAGCCACATACTAATATATTATCCTCAAAAGAGGAAACAAGGAATATATTTTGGGACATGCTGAAAAGGAAAACAAGGCAATTATTTCGGGACAGGGGAGTGCATCATATAACCCAATAACTTAGGACAGCATCACACATGCAAGTAACCTAATCAGCTTTTTGTCCCTATAATTATCTTTGTCCGGATTGTGGAGGAGCTTATAACTAGTCATTAGTACGATACTACTCTTTCCATTTAGTTTTCATATTCCGAATTTCCAATAATTCATGAATAAGATTCTGTAACTACCTTTATAACCGTTTATAAGGTTTTGAAGATGCAATTGGATTTACAGTTGCAAGATGCATAATTAAAGGAGACTTTTATCTCTTTAACAATAAAAACTCCTTATACCCTTTAGTAATTACATTATGTGGCGTTTTATGTGATGAACTTCAATAATCGTATGAGCTAATGAGTGCTTGGTATTACCTTTTTCATTTTCTTATATCACCTCTATCTTATAGACTGAAGAGTGCTTGCAAATGCTTTTAAAAAACACTTTTTAAAGTATTTTAAAACCCCTAGCTAAATTTTGCTTAACAAAGCTATAAGTATAGTATTGTAGTTAACAAATACACCAAAAAGCACTTCTTACCAAGTAACCAAACACTTTAACTAAAAGCATTTCCACCCAAGGGTGCTAAATACCCAGTCACTCCCCTTCTTCATGTTTGAGGTGAGGTAGTCTTGTGGATTTTTACTCATTTGCGCTTTTATAAAATCTATAGATTATGCAGATATTCACTTGCATATCATGTTATTAAATGATAAATATAGTTGTCGTATATCACCATAACTTCTTATGCTGACTTTGGCTAGTTGCTAATCAAATGCTTTTGCAGATTGATGGTTTGAAACTATATGTTGGGATGCCAGTCGATGCAGTTTCCGATTCTCGTACAGTAAACCACGCACGAGCTATTGCCACTGGTCTAAAAGCTCTGAAGTTACTTGGAGTAGATGGCGTGGAACTGCCAATCTGGTGGGGTGTTGTTGAGAAGGAAGCTAATGGGAAGTATGACTGGACTGGCTACCTCGCTGTCACTGAAATGATCCAGAAGCTTGGGATGAAGCTTCACGTCTCATTCTGTTTCCATGCACCCTCCATGGAACCCAAAATTTCACTTCCCAATTGGGTTTGCAGAATTGGTGAATTAGATCCTAGCATCTTCTATACAGATCGTTCAGGACACCAGTACAAAGATTGTTTGTCCTTAGCTGTTGATGATCTTCCTGTTCTTGATGGAAAAACTCCTCTGCAAGTGTACCAAGGTTTCCTTGATAGCTTCAAAAGTGCTTTTTCCAAGTTCATGGATTCCACAATAACTGTGAGGATTTTTGACTCCTCTCACTTCATTTCTGTTAACAAACAAAATCCTGCATTGATAATAATAATAATACGGATAATGTTAATAATAATAGACTATGGCTTTCTTTTTACATTTGTTAGTCCCACTTGAAAAAATAAAGACTAATGTTCTATAAGAATTTGAATTTGATCTAAATGTCTTGTAGCCCTAGTTGAGTGATACCAACCCAATCTTGAATTCTGCTACCAAAGCAGGTTCTAGCCGACTTTATTTGTCCGGTTATCCTTCAGGTTTTACAACGCTTTCTCTAAAAACTATGTCGTATGTTTGATGCTATTTTACTTGCCTCACTCATCATGCCCCATCCTAATCCCAACATATTGAAAATGTAACCGCTGTTATTGCCTCTACAATTCATTATTGCAACAAATTAAAACCATTGTGGATAACTACAACCACTGCCACCACAACCGCTAGTGCTCACAACCTGACAACCACCATCAACAATGATTGCCACTAACTGGCACTATCATCAGGGGAAATATAGTAATATAGCTGCTTAATTTTTGTTTATATCCGTAATCCATTATTAGTCTTGTAACTTTACTTATTTGCATATCATATCGTGTAACTAATGAGGTTTTTCACATTAAAAACTTTTCCACCATAATGTATAATCCAGGGAAAATTTCACCAAAATGATGCCACTGACAATCATTCTATAGTAAATAGTATCTTCCGGTAGAAAAATCATTATTAAGATCCAATTTAAAAGTGAGCAATCGGTTAACTTCAAAATGGTCTAAGTTATCTACCTGAGGGGGAGTATTAGCATCCCACATTAAAAAAAGTAAAGAGAAGGTGATGGATTGATAAGATCTTGACTTGATCCGGCTAACTGATTGTATTCAATCTTTTAGTGTAATTTACTAATTTGGTCCACTTACTTTTGGCTCTATTATGTATCTCTAACCTGTCTTGAATTCTATTAACACTTATTATATAGGGAATATCAATCGGGTTTGGACCAGATGGGGAGCTTCGATATCCCTCCCATCATGACGAAGCATCCAAGACTACCACCACTAAGCAGCTTATTGGAGCTGGGGAATTCCAGTGTTATGATAAGAACATGCTAACCCATCTGAAGCAGCATGCAGAAGTGAATGGTAACCCTCTGTGGGGACTTGGTGGTCCTCATGATGCTCCGAGCTATAATGACCTCCCAACCTCATCAACTAACTTTTTCAAAGAGATTGGAGGATCATGGGAGAGCACTTATGGCGATTTTTTCCTTTCCTGGTATTCCAAACAGCTCATCACACACGGAGACCGACTCCTCTCCCTTGCTTCCACTACCTTCAGGGACTCCCCGATCACGGTTTCTGGAAAAGTTCCTCTAATGCATCACTGGTTCAAAACCCGGTCCCACCCAGCAGAACTGACGGCTGGGATCTACAACACAATCCACAGAGATGGATATGATGAGATGATTAAGATGTTTTCCACAAACTCCTGCAAAGTTATCTTGCCCGGAATGAATCTGTGTGATGAGCATCAGCCAAACGAGTCCCTCTCGAGTCCGGAGTCTTTACTTGCACAGATCATGTCATCTTGCCGAAAACACGGTGTTGAGATCATGGGCCAGAACTCGTGGGCTTCAGATGCTACCAGCAGTTTTGAACAAATGAAGAAGAACTTACAGGGTGAAAATGGTTCAGGAATCAGCCTTTTCACCTACCAACGGATGGGGGTGTATTTCTTTTCCCCTGAACATTTTCCTTCATTCACGAATTTCGTTCGAAACCTCAGGGAAATGGAACTGGATGAAGATGATCTGCCAGGAAAGGAAGAAGCGGTAGCCTCCGGATTTCTTTCTGGCAGGAACCTGCAAGAGCCAGCTGCTTAGGCGTGTCCTAGTGTAGCTAAGATACTGTAATATATGAATGTAGTTTTAATATTACCAAGCAACTTTATACTATTATATTATGTACTGATGTACACACAGGAGCTGCATCTTGTAAACTTGTAATCTTGTCTGGAGATTGTTTTTCCATCTTAAGAAAGTATATTGCTCTTAAATTCTTGATCGTATAAAAAAAAGTCTCTTTTAAATGTAGTAATAAAGACATAAAAGGAAGAGAGTGAAAATTTTCATTAATAAAATCATTATTAACAAAATTCGGTAAATGTTTCCTATCATTTACCCCACTGACTGGTGGTTTACTAGGGATGGACTCGGGCCGGGCGGCCCGACCCGGAACCGGCCCAGCCCGCCCACTGTAGCAACCGGCCCGGTGGATACTGGTTCCGGGCCCGGGCCCTCCATTTGGTGAACCGGGCCGGCCGGTTCGGGCCCGGGCCGGATTTTTTTTTTTTTTGAATTTTTTTTGAGTTTTGGGTCGGATTTGGTATTTTGGGCCATTTGAGGTGGTTTGGGGGTTGAGGGGGAGGGGGTTAAATAAGAGAAGCAAAAAAAAAAAAAATAGGGCGGGTGAACCGGCCCGGTCTGGCCCGGAACCGGTCACCGCCGGTTCGGGCTCGGGCCTCCCTTACCTTGAACCGAGGCCCGGCCGGTTCAAGGCCCGAACTGGAACCGGTCCACCCCTAGGTTTACTCACCGGGATTAAAAAAAATCTTGAAATATGAATAAAAAACAATATAAAATTCTAAAATGAAACTACTACTCCCTCCGTCCCAATTTGTTTTGCAAAGTCAACATTTTTTGGTCAACTAATAATAAAAGTCAACCCTTCTTATGTATAATTAATTCGATTTTTAATAAATAAAATTTACATATTCATAAACTACATCAAAATATCTTCAAAGTTGTAAACTCCAAATTACAATATAATTAAAAATTGACATCTTAATTAAGTAAACAAAACGCAACTGTTTGACCAAGAAAAGTCAAATTTGCAAATCAATTCGGGACGGAGGTAGTATGTTTTTTCCATAAATAGGAGTTTTCTTGAAGTTTTATCCAAAAAAATTGACACCGTGTCCTATAAAATAAGGTTTATTGTTTTAAAAATAAAAACAAGGGTTGATTTTGTTTGATCAAGTGAGAATACTTATCCAACCAATTTTGTCAAAACAAAGTAGCAAATACATTTGAATATTTGATAGGATACAATTTGCTCAAATGAATAATTAAATACAATGTACGTAATCATACAAAAAAATATAATAACCATCAGATTGAACAAGAACTTAACAATAACAATAATTCTCGTGGTATCAATATTTGCAGACAGTCCATGTACTTTTCGTTATTTTGGTTGAACTTCTGGCATCGTATTACATCCATAATACAAGTCTATACTTGAACAACGACTCCATAGTGATTTGAAGGTGGAATAAGGGGCTCATTTTGTGTGTAGTCTTCGAAAACAGTGGTGGGATGTTTGGCTTCTTTTTCTAACTTACTGTAAATGGCATAAAGTATTAACTCTGCTGCTCCAAATATGAAGCCCATCCCATTTGGCACCTGCAAACATATGTCACCCCATTTGTAATTTTAAAAGAAAAGGACGACACCTATCCCAAGGGCTCAACCCCGGCCGGAGAGTTAGTTTGTGAGCTTTAATCACAAACTAGGAGATAATGAGATATTTGTTATATTATTTTTATGTGTATCTCTTTAATGGACATTATATTTTTACATTGGGATTTGGGAGGTTCAACAAGTTGTTTTTGACAACATTTTTTCAAATAATTATTGAAAATGCTCTTTGTATACACCGGTTTACACGTCGAGTATTTTTTATCTGTGTATAGACGGTTGATGTTCATTTTAGTAAAGGGAAATGTTTGTGACTCGAAAACGTGAATATTGTCCGTGATACAGATAATTCATTTTTTGGGACTACAGACAGACGCCTTTACTAAAAGAAAAATAAATATTTGTAAACAGATAAAATGATGAGTAAGCTGTTGTCGTGCACACATAGAATAATTCAAAATTATTAGGATGACGCACTCATCGTGCCCCATCCTAATCGTAACATATATATTGAAAAGTGGTCATTGTTGATTGATAACTAACCACAGCCACCACAATCGCTAGTGGTCGCAACCACAACAGTGATTGCCACTAGCACTATTATTAGGGATCCTCCTAATAATTTATCCAGCTCATGTTGTCTAGCTTGATTTGACTTGAAAAGTATGTTGACGTATTTATCTCACATCATATTTCGTATTATTGACATTAAATAATACGGAATAACTAATACTCCGATCAATACGTCTTAATAACTACACACTATTTAAAAAAATAGAAACTTGAATTTTATAATTAAATATCAATATAATTATTGCATAAAAACAAAATACTCCGTATTAGTCTTTCTCACAAGCACAAGACTCAAGAAATATGTGCGGGAAGTATTAAGCCAATTTGCTCTCTCGAATTAATATCAAGCATGGAGAGAAAATGACTCTAATTACAAATTATGAAATTACTATATCAGATTTAGAGAGATCAAATTGTAGTAGACTAAACTTAAATTGTTAGATCAGATTAGACTTAGACAGATTAGATCATACCAGATCAAATTTAAATTGATCTAACCAAACAGATTGAATGTTTTAAATAATACTACCTCCATAATGCAAAGATCTTTCCACTTTCCATTTTCAATCATAACTACATAAATTCTCATTTCTAAATCTTCGCAACATATATCAATAATTTTAAAAATAATACACTATTACACCTACTTTTTTGGAATTATTCCTTATTCCATAACATTATTTATTATTTTTCCATCATACACTCAATAATTTATATCTCATCTCAGTCACTATTATGGGGGTAGTGCGTAGTATTGTAGTAACATACACAGAATACGAACTTCGGCCATTACAAAATACAGACTTTTGTCATTTGACACTAGATATTAATGAAACTAGATCACACTATTCGTGAACAAATACGGAGTATATAACATTGGACAATACTAAAAACTTCAATGGAAATAAAAACATCTTTGTGAGTAAAGTGAACTTATTTACATTTTACAATGTAAGCATGTCGACTTTTAGGACTTGCCCATTATCAAGGCCGGTCCTGTCCGTTTATAGGCCTATAGGCGATATGCTAATTCGGGCTTATATCCGAGATAAACGTAAACCATATAATAAAAGTATCGAACGAAGTTCATAAAATAAAGGCGAGGATCACATTATTTATTTTTTTTGCAATAAAGGCGAGGATCACTTTATATTTATTTAAGTTACATAGTTAGGCAAAAGTAACCACACGAGTATCAAATAAAAAGAAAAAAAATACTTAAAAACGTTTCTCGTAGAACAATGTGAAGCAAAACTCATAGACAATCTTCTTTCCACTAATAAGTATGACAAACAATAAAAATATCACATATAACAACACTAAACTTTCTTTTAGTTACAACCTGAAAAGATAAATGAAAATAAATATTACTACATATTGAATTTATAAGTTGAGAATGATTTATTGACCGCTAAGAATTTAAAGTTTGAAGTCTCGAAAGAATGAAGGTTTTCAAAGAGACAAAATGTTTGGCCACCAAGAAGATTGCCAATTTGTCATCCTCTTTAACTACTATTAGGAACTGGGATATAGTTTTTTTCAATTTGGAAACAAATAAATAATTGGGATGAGATTTGGGATCCACCGGCTCTAAAATAATTGCTTGTATATAAATTTGTTATGTTATAATTAAAACGAATAAAAAGTCCTAAAGGCTAAAGAGATGTGAAGAGTGAAGAGACACGTCTTTTATTGATCCAGCAATAGTTGTATTGCTTTCAAAAACTAACACCGGTTCTACTTAAAATTAAATTAGTGTGTATATATATATATATTCTTTTTTAAACTTGGTTTTTTTTTTAAAAAAAATTATATATGTTTTAAATTTTCAAATTGTCAATAAAATTAAACATTTGAACTTAAGAATAAAAGAAGAAGCCTACTCACACAATTTATAAAGAAAAGATTTTGGACCTATTTCTTCTTCTATATTTTTTCAGGCCTAGAGCGGTCGCCTTGTTACCCTCCCCCAGAACCGGCCAAACCCATTATTCAATTGGTAAGCAAAATCTGTCGACACATACAACAAAACAAAAAAATAAAATATACTCCGTACTACGTACTAATTTAATGTAAAACTGATTGGCCGACAGGGAAATGTGACTCAAACCAAACAACAAAGTAGGACTCGTGATTATTTCCAAAAAAGTCTTATCATTGAACTGGACAATATGTACATGTCTTGGTTCATTGACGGATCACCAAGTTGTTGGATTTTATTAGGGAAAGTTCTCAAAATAGGACTAAAAAAGTTTGAAAATTCTAAAATAAGACTATCATGTTTTTATTCCCAAAATAGGAGTAATTACTGCCAAGTTTGAAAAATATCTGTCATATTTAAGGTCTGATACTGCTAAAACATGACAGTAATTAGTCTTATTTTGGGAATAAAAACATGGCAGTCCTATTTTGGAATTTTCAAATTCTTTTAGTCCTATTTCGGGTAATATCTCATTTTATTATTACAAATTAAATGAACCAACCACCAAAACCATTCTAGCCCGCTAAAATACGGAGTAGCTAGTTTTTTTGTAGTCCGGTTTAATAACATTATTGTGTTCCATTCAGGGACGGATCCAGGATTCTGAGTCAAGGGGGGCGAAATTTTTCGTTAATGTAGGGGGTGAATTTTTTTTCGTTAGTGTAGCGGGGTGAATATTTTTCCCCTAGTGTAGCGGGGCGAAATTTTTTCGCTACTGTGGAGCTATGCGGCTATTTTTATTCAAAAAATGACATTAATACATGCACATCCCGAACGGCATTTAAATCTAATACATTTTAAGTTTAGACGATGACAAAGACATCAACCAATACATTTTTAATAACTTCTACATTGTTTAACCTCATAAATCGGTTATTGAATTGTAATTTTTGTCCACCAAGGAGGGTGTTCGTGAGTCATGACTCATGAGAAGTTTTCTTAATATTACAATAGTAGTATACTAGTATGTATGAGATTGTTATTTTTGGAATAATGTGCACCACACACACACACATATATGGCGCATATTATATTTTAATATTTTTATTAATTCTATAATAATTTAAAGTTTATTATCCATGCAATAAATTATTTTCAGAAACCAAGAAGTAAATGAATTATGTAATCTAATGTCTATAAATATTTATATCTTGGATTCATTTCACGTGATCTAAAAATTGTGTAATTAGTGTGTCTGGTATTTAATATTGTTTGATATATGTTTTACAAAATCCAGTACTTGTTATCTAATAAAGATAATTAAACATTACAAAACTAGGAATTCTTATATAATAAGTATCCTAAATCTTAAATAACGAGTTACTCTATTGTTTATTTGTTTCAGTTATGTAAATTATTTTAAATGTTTATTCTTTCAAATATCCAATTAAGTATTACATTATGTAAGACCATATACTAACTTTGAAAATTAAAAGTTAAGGGGGGCGAATCTAATTAAATTATGAAAGTTTTATGAAAATATTACATATATGGTAAAAAAAATTGAATGTCCAAGGGGGGCGGTCGCCCCCCGCGCCCCCCCCCCCCCCCCAAATCCATCCCTGGTTCCATTCTAAGCAGAAAATGTATTTTTATTAAAAATTCCTCTCATTTTCATCCAAATTTTGATTAGTCTCTCCGACATTGATCAAATTGACTAATAATGTAATAAAGATATTGAGAATTATAAATAAACTTAAACATAGGAGCATTATTACTTTAAAGATTTTTATTCAAATGACATTATTGAAATAAAATTTATATACAAAAATATGATTATAAGTTATTACTACGTATAATACAGCACTATAGTATCATGATTACTTAATTATAAAAATTGAACATAATTTAGGAGGTTTTCTTTTGGACTGAAATTTGTTGGTCTGGTCTAGTCTGGTTTGTTTAAGTCTGGTCTGATCTGGTAAACGTCTGGTCTCTGTATATTTTATAACTATGGAAGTCTGGTCTGGTCTGGTCTGAACTGGTCTGATCTGGTCTCTGTATATTTTATAACTATGGAAGTCTGGTCTGTTTAAGTCTGATATGGTCTGGGACTGAAAACAGTACAAAAGAAAACATCCTTATTATGGTTAAAGTTACTACACTTAAAAAGTTACATTTTTATAAATAACTTGTATGTTAGTTACAAATATGTAAATATTTAATTATCAAACGAGTATACTCCGTGTAATGATAATACATACGGGGTACGTTTTTGAAAAAGTTAAAGGATACGAATTACCAAATTTAATAATTTATTACTCAATACGATAGTATTAATTTGTCGTCAGATAGCCTATTCACATGGTCTGAGGACTGAGGGCTTGTTTGCAACCAATTAAAAAAAAGTGATTTTGGCTTTTTTTTAAGGAAAAAACAAAAAAACACTTAATTTTTCAAACATTACTAACTTTTACTTCTTAGATTTTCGTGTAGAATCTACTTTTTACTTTTTCTATTACACAAAAAGCACTTATTTTACCAAACACTACCAACTTTTACTACTAACCACTTGTGCTTTAAGCACAAGTGGTTGCAAACAGAGCCTGAGATTGATACTGAATACCACGTATAACTTTAGGATTCCATGAAATCTTCTGTGGCCCTCCCATCCCTATTCCATCTTCTTGCTGTTTCTAAAAGTATAATACGCAGTATATTTTAATTTTATAGATAGATGGATCAAATCTATTCAAATAAAGTAAGTAATTAGCATATGAAATCGTATCAAACAACATGTTTTTATTGTGGAAATCCAAACTTCAAACCAAATCAATCTCAAGTGATCCAAACCTGAATTATCAACGGTTTCATGCCATTTTGGTATCATCTTCCCTAAATTGAATAAACCTAACCATAAATAAAAATGCTCACCCCCCAATTGGAAGAATGTTTTATAAATATCTTCAATAAACTTGAAGTCAATATCGGCAAATGTTGAACCTTATAGCACTCAATATTAGTGGTTAAAGTGAATACTAGTATACCATGTGCCTTTCTTATGTGTTATAGGGTTTTGCCCATACTCCATAGACTCACTTATTTGTGTGTCACCATTTAATGCATTTAACATTTATTATTAATATAGGGGATAAGGGTCAGATAGGGCCTCGAACTCGAAAAAAAATGTCAAATAAGGTCATATTTAGGATGCTCTGTCCGGCCGACGCCATTTGGGGCGGTTCCAGATGCCATTTTTTGATGAATTTTTTTTAGCATCTTCCTCATTAAGTCTAGTTTACCCATACCAAATTTCAGCTAAAAATTCAACCGGGAAGGTAGTCAAATGATTTTTTGAAGATAATTGTGAAGTTAAACAACCCCGTACATTTCGGAAAATCATTTGACTATCTTCCCGGTTGCATTTTTAGGTGAAATTTGGTATGAGTAAACTAGACTTAATGAGGAAGATGCTAAAAAATTTTCATCAAAAAATTCCATCGGGAACCACCCCAAATGGCGTCGGCCGGACAGAGCATCCTAAATATGACCTTATTTGACATTTTTTTTCGAGTTCGAGGCCCTATCTGACCCTTATCCCTTAATATAGGGAGTATAAATTAAGACTTTATTTTAAGGCTATGTTTGGCGGGCATAAGTCCCTGACTTCTAGCTTTTGTACTGTTCAAAAAGTTCCTAAAAGCTTCTAGTTGTGTGTTTGGCCTGACAATATTTAAGAACTTTTCAAAAATTAAAAGATCTTTTTTGAGATGCTACCGGGAGTAGCATCTCAAAAAAGTATTAATTAATCCTAACAGCTTGTATACCAAACCGAACTAAATCAAACAGTCAGCTTTTTATCAAACAGCTACCACATTTTCTTTTTAAGATCTTTTCAGTCACTAAAAGCTAACAGCTATTAAAAAGCTCACAAAAGTATCTTTTCAGCTAGTTGTGCCAAACATGCCCTAAGTAGTTGTAACTTGTAGGAGTTCGAAAAATCACTTATTGCAATTTGCAAGATATATTTCTCTCTATGTATTTAATTCAGACTTTAATTCACTTAATTCAGTCTTTTAAGAGATATTTCGGGTAATATCTCTTAAAATATTACCCGAAATAGGACTAAAAAGGTTTGGAAATTCCAAAATATGACTGTCATGTTTTTATTCCCAGAATAAGACTAATTACTGTCATGTTTTGACAGTACCAGACTTCAAACATGACAGTATTTTCCAAACTTGATAGTAATTACTCCTATTTTGAGAATAAAAAACATGTCAGTCCTATTTTGGAATTATCAAACTGTTTTAGTCCTATTTCGGGAACTTTTCCGAAGATAAACGATGTAAATAAACTAATAAAGAGAAATAGTATCTAAAATAAACATGATACCATCAAACACAACAAAAAAACTTACCCCAAGAAACCAGTCGTGGTCTAGGAAAGCATATAACGTCCAAACGCTACCGTTTAGAAAGATGAACAATGACAGGTAAAACGGCATGAACTCCACGCTGTTCGTCCTCATTACAGTCCTCTGGTAAAACAACATTACAATTACTAATTTTCTCGTAGGGAAGAAATTAAATTAGAAGCCCATATGAATATAGTTTTTCTTTTCTATAATTTTATCACAAAAGTTTGGTTATCTATTATACTACACGAGTTAGGTGAATGTATTAATAATTCAAGTGGTATTTATTCAGAGCCGGTTTGGCACTATCCAAATCTGGCACTATCCAAATCGACTACATTGGCCGATTCTGCTGAAGTGACTAGATTGATTGATTGATTCGGTTGATTTATGAAAAAAAAAATAGATTCATGATATAATTTATTAATTACATAAAGAAAAATTTATATGAACAAATAGCTAAAATAATTTTCTACAGTAAATTCCAGAAAAGTAACTTCAACCTTATTTTTTTCTTATTATTACACAATCCAGCGCGCGAAATAAAAAATTAGGTGTTTCATGAAAAAGTTGGTTATACTCGTGATAAAACGAAAAAGTGGAGTCACTAAATGAGCTCTAATCTTTTACGTACCATTGCAGCCAAGGGGGAGGCATACATGATTATATTCAATCCAACACATAGATACCCTATGGCATTGATCAAAGCAGCTCCTTGAAATACCAACTTGGTTACCAAAACCACCGCTACCACAAACCCTATGTTGAGGAAGCCGACCAGTCCGGCTGTCTTCCGCTACAAACGTTATAAATAAACCATTATTAACCTTAACTAATTTTAGATGATAATTGATACTAGGGTATACAGGGGTGGAGCTAAGGGGGTCAGGGTGGTCATCCGATGAAAGTTTGAGAGTATAGAAATCTGAATTATCTTCAATTTGAAAATTATGGCCCTCGTAACTCATTACGAGTAAAAAATTATGACTTCTGGAAAATCAACACTATCTAAAAGTAAAATTAGCAAAATTTGATGCATAATATAAATTATTTTCCCAAAATTTAAAAAATAGAGCATAATTCACTCAATACTTACGGGACGCGACTTAGAAACAGAGCAAAGACAATATATCTTATTGTTACGAGTGCCTATTTTATGTAAACTGCATATGAAGTATTCAACTCGGATATTGTTTAAAAACGATCCACCATTTCCATTCTCTATATAGGTTGAGTTTCGACCTCCTGAGCCGTTTTTTGGCTCTGCCACTGAGGATATATACTATCTTTGTTCCATTAATATTTAATATTAGGACAAGAAAGATTATGCAATGGAATATATAGTGTAAGTAATTTATGCAAGGGAATATATAAAAGCAGAGAACTTGTATTATCTTATACTCCGTATCGATCTTTATTTACTTGCATATTAGTGTACGTAGCTAATAATTGTTTATACTTCGAATAGATTAAGAAATTTTTCCGATCCATAAAAAATGGACCAATAATATTAGTGTCGGTGGAGACTTTTCCCTCGAAAATAGTGTATTCGAGTTTAAAAGTCCTTAATGTGGACATGAATAAATTACATAATCCACAAGAATTGTCTATACAAATGCACAAATATATACTCCTTAATATAATAGTATGTGTTGAACAAATATTGAACTAGAAGGGTAAAGGCGGGGATTGGTGAACTGATGATCACGTACCACACCAACACTTTGGCTCCTCCTCAAGAGTATATATTTATTTATATGTATATTATGCATATTATGTGTATGATAAGGTATCAAATACAAACATATCGTAATTTACAAACTAAAAATCCATCTTGATTATCTGATGAGTTGATCTAAAGACTATCTACACCCACTGCCATTTTGGTAATAAAATCAAACTTTTTCGAATAATGCAACATTTGAAAGTGAATAAGCAGCTGCTTATTTCATTGCAGAATAATATGTAATACCTTGAACGTTAATATGTAATACAAACAGCGTAAGTAAAGATGCATCGTACAAATATTTGCATAATAGGCACTGTTTGTAACCTTGTACCTAATACGCCCCTTGTGTCTTGGGATATATATATATATTAGAGTATATAGGTAGGTACCTTGATCTTTGGAGGAGCAAAGATGAGGAAGATGAAGACGTAAATGGACTCGACAACGACGCCTATGGCGTTAATGGTAAAAACCTTAAGCTCTCCGGGTTTGGTGAAGCCATAGTAACACCAAAGGGATGAACACAGCAATGCAGAGATATAGGGGATGCTCTCAAATTCTTCCGTGCATCTCTTCTTTACTATCCTCCAAAATACTTCCCTGCTCTCATTTATTTTTTCACTATAGTCAACACACTTGTACGTCGTTTAAATTAACTCGAATTAACATTTCTATAGAATATTAGAGATTAAGAACAATTAATACCGTTAAGGTAAGGAATAACATTCAAAAAGTAGGAGAGAAAAATAGAAAAAGATGCAAAAAATGATGAAAATAATAGGATATAAGTCCTTTGCACATGTCTCAATCTCTAGAGAAAGTAAACTAGTAAAGATAATACTTGGAAATAATTTTATCGAATTAGGATAAGTTAAAATGAACTGATGTAATGTGTGTAGTGTATATATACTACTCCGTATTAAAAATTCTATATAATATATATCTACCACGGTTCACAAATAATCATTCTCAGATTTATGAAGTTCTAGTTAAAGTGACTTCATTGGCTGATGATTTTGTTGATTTATGATAAATTTATATTTAAATATATTTTATTAATAAAACAAAGAAAAATTTATGTGAAAATAGCTAAAATGCTCATGTACTGTAACTTCAATCAATACACCCAGAAAAGTCAAACCTTATTTTTTCTTATTATTACACAATTACGTGTGAGAAATAAAAAACTACTAGTACGTGTTTGATGAAAATGTTGACTGATAAATCTAATAAGCCGAAAAACAGGGTCACCCAATGAGGTTTTAGAATTTCACATTTGTTAACACACAACTTTGATACTAATACATTTAATTGCTCAGTAGGTATTAGTTAAAAACATGCTTCGATCCATATATATTTTTTACTTTGACAAAAAATTACTATGTTTATAATATTTTTAATAAATTAAAAATATCATGATAAGTATCATAACCGAGCTTTGTGAAAAGTAAAACGAAATAGCTGCTTGATTTAATTAACACAAAGAAGTTTTATGCGACAGAGAATATATGTAGTAATTACAATATACGTAGTATATTTACGGGTTCCAAATTAAAGAAATAATTTTTAAAATGATTTTGGTGATCGAAAGTGCTTAATAATACGTACAAGTTGTCAAGTTGATAGAGCATGAAAAAAAATGTTTTTGAAAAAGTGAAAGTTGATAGTGTTTTGTAAACTAAGTGTATTTTGAGTAATAAATAGAGTGAAAAAAGGTGAAAACATTTACCCAAATATTTTCACCTTTTAGCTTTTATTTATTTAATTTAAACAGACTATTATTTGAAAACACACTTCAAATTTTTTAAGTCAAAAACTGAAAATCACTTATATTTAATTTTTGCAAACATACCCTTAATGAACGAATTTTTGCCAACCTACCTTAATGAACGTGTTTGCAAATAATACTCTTATTACTTCCAAATGCGGTTGTGATTTTTTTTGTTCTTCTAATCTGGTTTTAGTCATTTGATATGCAACCCAGTAACCACCGACCGTGCAGATTCACACAAAATCTTTATTGTTTGGCCATGTATAGATAAATTAAACAGAAATTGCCCTAAATAGGAGTATAAATGTTTTGAAATTCCAAAACAGGAGTATCATGTTTTTTATTCCCTAAATAGGAGTACTCTTCCAAGCTTGGAAAAAAATGTCATGTTTAAAAGCCTTGTAATGCCAAACTTTGCAGAAATTTACTCCTATTCAGGGAATAAAAAACATGATACTCCTATTTTGGAATTTCAAAACATTTTTACTCCTATTTAGGGAATTCTCTCTAAATTAAATGCATACGTATGTGTATCTATAATGTGCGTATTATGTATGTATACGTGTACGTAGGAAATTAAGAACTTACGCGGGGGAGAAGAAGATGAAAATGGAGGGGATAAATCCTGCAAATTGATCAAAATACAGATCAAGTAATTAATGCACTCCATTCTGTAATTTATTACTAATAAGAAGTGTTAATTACATACATACATACCTATAATTCCAACGTAGAAGCGCAAGTCTTGATCGATTACCATAATTATATATTGCCCAGGCCAGGCCGGAGTTTAACTCGATCGGAAAATGAAATCTCAAACTGACCGGCCGGCCTGCAGCAGGGAGCTGAGCTAGCTAGCTAGCTAGTAAGACAAATATACGGATGGATTGGAGTATAATAATAATAGAAATATACGAAATCAGATGAAGATACTAATTAAGGAAGCTACCAACATCATACGTGGGCTATATATAATTAATTAATTATATATAACCTACTACTAGGTATTTCACATTCGCCTCACGAGGAGGAAGCTAATTTAAGCTATATACACACATATTTATACATAGTACTCCCTCCGTAACTTTGAAATCTTCCCATTTCAAAAGTAGGTAGATTAAGAATAGTGAAAGATGATATGAATTATTGAGGGTATGATGGGAAAATTGTGGAATAATGTGGCGGAATGTAGGATAAATCCAAAAAAAGTAGTTGTAATAGTGTATTATTTTAGAAATTATTGAGGGTATGATGGGAAGATTTAGAAATGAGAAGATTTTTTTGTTACGGACGAAAAAGGAAAGTGGGAAGATTTTTAAGTTACGGAGGGAGTATGTACTATCGTATATAGCAATAGTACGCACGGGCGGTTTTATATTGATAGAGTAAGAGAACATTGAAAATATTTTGACACCCACGCCCGGCATTACATTGAGTGGTGGATAAGTTGGAACACTGATCAAGGATCAAATTCTGCAATGACCGTGAAGGTTACAGTCTTGTGTGTTAAGCTGGTCGGACTTCTTGTGCGCACAGGTATAAGGCCTACTAGACTACCATCATTGGCGTAACTGGGTCACCATAATTTATAGTCAACCAAATGTCTTGTCGTGTCATAGCGTGGTGGCATTGAGGTTGGGGATTCAACCTTTTGGAACACAATAAGAAAATGTTTTCTAGATCATCGTTTCATAATCTCTACTTTTAGTTGAGAGGTGTTCGACTCAACTTTTTGTTTATCAAATACGAGTACTAAACTTTGTATTTAGTTGAAAATGATTATTTTAACATTTTTGTAATAATGTCAAGTACCTTGTAATATGATGTCATCACTGTGATACTCCGAAGAAGGAGGTCACGGGTTTGAACTCTATTCCAGTTCAAGGATGTTGATTTTAATATAGAACAAATGCGATAATAGGTTAAAAGCTTTAATTTTCCAAAACAATATTTTTGTAATAATGAACATAACTAAATATGAAAATTAAAAGTTAATTTTCCAATTTAACTAATTGATTTTGTTGAAAATGATTATTTTAACATTTAATTTATTATAATTATTTTATTATATATGTCTCATATGGAATGTTTTGTTTTAGTTTGATAGAATTATTAATAAAGAGGTTGAAACGTAAAAGATTAGGTATAAGTCGTTTGAGTTCAAAAAAATATGAAATTCATTTTGGGGAACTAAAAATAGAAAGTAAGATAATCAAAAGATGATAGAGTGAATATTTTTCCTTTAAATAATAGAAATAATTCCGAATATAGGACCAAAAAAATAGTAACACTAGTAACTTTAGTGACTAATTGTATTGAAATGTTATATGACAGTGACTATAAAACTTACACTGCACATCGTAACTTATAATTACATTTTGTCCATAGATCTTTTATCAGTAATATTTTAGAAAAAACATCTGAATGATACTCCATCTATCACAAATTGAGTTGCAAAATTCACTTTTTTGGGTTAAACAAATTCATTTTATTCACTTAACTATGATGTCAATTCTTAATTAAATTATAATTTAAATTTTGTAACTTTAAAGAGATTTTAATATACTTTCTAAATAAATAAATTTAATTATTTAAATTGAATTAATTATGAATACAAAGTATTTAATTTTAACATTAAAATTGAATTAATTGTTTTGACTTTGCAAAATAATTTGAGACCGAGGTAGTAAAATACTAAAATATACTCCGTAATATGGAGTATATTTTAAGGAGTTTTCCCTTAAATATTACTAATAAAAATGTCATAGACAAAAATGTGACTTATTAATTATTAGTGATTATAATTATGTTCAATGTTTGCATCATAGTAATTTACATATAGTTATTACGATGTAAAATCTGAACATATATATATTCATTAATAATTACTAAATCATTTGTCTTTCCATCACATTTTAAAGATTAAAATTTTCATATTTTAAATACTCGTATAATTTTGTGGGGGCGGGGTGTTTCATCCAAAACAAAATAGTGAAATACTCGGGTGCACATACGTTCTCCGTTAGTTTATTCACGTATAATTCGCGTATAATACACTCAAACGTATAATTCGCGTATAATACTCCCATTTATGAATTTTTCAAAAAATTCGGAAAAATTCGCGTACTTTAAGAATAAAATGTATAATACACGTACTGTACGTATTGATACGTATTTTATTCCCGTATAATACTCTTGTTTATGAATTTTTAAGAAAATTCTGGAAACCTCACGTACTTTAAGCATAAAATGTACAATACACGTACTGTATGTATTGATACATATTTTATTCAAAAACACACACCATTAAACGGAAGCCTAATGTAGTGATACAACTGAAACGAAATGTTTACCTGCTCAATATTATTTATATTGCTTAAAAAAATTATGCCTTATATGTTCGTTAATTGTTTCATAGTCATTACATTTAATAAATTAGCTTCTTAAATTCGTAATCCTTTTCAATACTACTATTGTACTACTAATGTTCTCCACACATACCAAGACTCCAAAGAGATCGTAAAATGTTGTGGCGGCTCACGAAACTCACGGTCACAGTAATATCAACTATTCTCTAATAATATTTCTCTACTTCTACTCAAATAGGCAATGCCATTTTTATTACTTATTGTACTTATGTGTTCAAATCCGTATATATCAAAAAATTATTCCGTACATTTTAAATTGTTGAAGAATGTGGTTCAAATTCTAAATAACTTTTTATTTCTATCATTAAATTAGTATATAAGACACATATTATATGCCGTATTTTTAAATTGTGAAACGTTTAAAACGCGTCCGTATCTTTATATATTTCACGAACGTATGAAACATATATTAAGTCGTATTTTATATAATTATGTCGTATTATACACGAACGTACGTATTATTGTATTATTCACGAACCGTATATTACTAACAAAGCATACATACGTTTGCATCTGTATGTACTCCGTATAATACTGCCTAATGAATACTCCGTACAACAATAATTGTGTTCGACTGGTATGTTCACTTGATTCAGGTATTGCAGTCCAGGTAACGCACCTTCCACAAGGGCCCTATGAACGGCCTAGTTTCTGACATCTACCTCCCTCTCGGCCCACAAGTTTTCCTTCAATTTATTGTGTTCGACTGGTATGTTCATTGTTCACTTGGTTCACGTTAATAAAATTTATTTATAAATTTTTTATTGATAAATAAAATTTATAATTCAGAAATTACATTAAATTTTTACTTCATTGCAAAAAACTCAAATTTCATAAAGTTATATATATATATATCAAAAAATTAAAAATAATTTACGTTAGTCAGAGATTACTACACGCATTGTCGCATTCCACTAACATTGAGATATGATGAAATGGTGCAACTATTAGGAAAAGTAAATTTATGTGACTCCTATTAATTGATAGAGTAAGCCAATTAAAAACATCTTAGCTGGCATACGTGATGACATAATTAAAACGTGAACGTTTTAATACGAGGTGAAAAGGAAAGATAATATCATGATTAAGCAGCTGCTCTGTTCGTCTTAATCTTATTACTTATTGCTTATTCTTATTTTATTCAGATCAGATCAGATCAGAAAAATTCGGATCAGATCAGAAAGATTTAGATCAGATCATAAAGATTCAGATCAGATCAGAAACATTCAGATCAGATCAAGAACATTCAGATCAGATCAGGAACATTCAAATCAGATCAAAAAAGTTCAGACATGATTTATCCTTTTTATTATGATAATAATTATAATAATATTTATAATAATTATAATAATTATAATTAGTATTATTCTTGTTGTTGTTTTTGTAATTATTATAATTAATATTATTACTGATATTATTATTGTTAGTTTATTATTATTCTTATTATTGTTATTATTATTGTTGTTGTTGTTGTTGTTGTTGTTATTGTTATTATTATTATTATTATTATTATTACTATGATTACTATGATTATTATTATTATGATATTTATTATTATCACGATTATTATTATTCTTACTACTAATATGGTTGTTGTTATTGTTATTAGTTTTGTTTTCATTATTATCATATTATACGGAGTAATTACAATAAAAATTATAGAAATAAATATTATAACTATAATTAAAATTATAATTATAGAAATAAATATAACTATAAATATAATTACAATTATAATTATAACTATATTTATAACTAGTGTAATACGTATAATAATAATTATACCTATTATAATTATGTTTGTAATTATAATTATAATTTTTATAATTATGATTATACTTATAATTATAATTATAATTATATTTAAATTATATATGTGTAATTACATTTATAATTATAGTAATTATAATTGTAATTATAATTTTAGAAATATTCAAATCAGATCAGATCAGAAATATTCAGATCAGATCAGAAGGATTTAGATCAGATCAGAAACATTCAGATCAGATCATGAACATTCAGATCAGGTCAGGAACATTCAGATCATATCAGAAACATTCATATCAGATAAAAAAGATTCAGATCAGATCAAAAAAATTCAGATCAAATCAGATCAGAACTTAAAAAATTCATATCAGAAACATTCAGATCAGGTGAAGAGAACAGCTTCTAATACGGGGTGAAAGGGGAAGATAGAACCATCTTAGCGGGCGGAAGGAGTATTAATTATGTCACGCCCCGGACCTATCCGGACACGTCAACAATCCGCCGTACAGTACGAATAGTCAACCGCAGTCCAACACATTCATACTATACAAGGCGTCTGGGATATCATTCACATATAGTACATCCATAAACCAACATAATGTAAAATATTCATTCAAAGCAGCGGAAACATTTAATATAAGTGTTCGTGCCACACTTTGGCAAACATGGGCATACAAGCCCCCAAATGATTATTCAAAAATATAATATCCATGAGCATTAATTTAAATGTTTTTAAAACAGGAACGGAGGAAGCACGAACCACGTCTTCTCTCCTTGATCTTCCCGAAACAAGCGGGCGATGGCAGCAACCTTCAAGTCCTACCTGAAACTGTGAGGTGGCCTCCCCCGTGAAGGGGAGGTCAGTACTTGGAAGCATTTGACAAGTACAATGACAACTATACTAAGTATAATCAATGTTTCAATTTCCAAGACCCTAAATTTAGGGTGTTATTATCTCATGATTAACTTTGTTCGTTTAGTGTCATTTCATCATTTATTACCACGGTCTAGAGCCCAACTCAATAATCACCGTTACCTACTACGGTCTAGAGCCCAGTTCAATAATCACCGTCATCTACATCGGTCTAGAGCCCAGCTCAATAATCACCGATAACTACTACGGTCTAGAGCCCAGCTCAATAATCACCGTTATCTACATCGGTCTAGAGCCCAGCTCAATAATCACCGATAACTATCACGGTCTAGAGCCCAGCTCAATAATCACCGTTATCTACATCGGTCTAGAGCCCAGCTCAATAATCACCGATTCTTTACAATTAAATTTCTTAGGATCCATTATTCAACTACAATCCCAACTAATATTTCAATACTAGTTATTTACTCATTTCAATGTAATTCTTCATTCAATATGTAGTTTGACCTTAATATCAAAATATCACTTTTATTCTTTCATGGCTTCTTCTCATGAATTAAAAAGCATACTTATCACAAATGAAATTTATGGTTGATACTACTATCATGCCATCATATTCATAACATATAAACATACACAATTTATTCAATAAATTTGTATATTATGCAAACTATACTTATAATCAATAGTAAGGGCCCAAGCCGAGGTCCGGCCCACTAACCCATATTGCCAGACGCACGTCCAGTTAGAACACCAGGCCATCCCACAGGCCCACGTCCCTTGAGGATGGACGAACGTCTGATGTGGGGGGCTCAGGCCCAGCAAACTCATCCCGACGAACGGATGTACGGGGACAAGGAGCAGGACCACGGGCCACCAGGGATGGCGACGAACGTCCCCGGGGCGAGCCTGTAGTCATCGGAGGGGACCCAGTTCACATGGTGAATATCTACAAGGCCAGGAGACGAACAGCCGATATCTTTCGAGGGTCACTTGGAGCAATCCAACTCACTTCCCGGGAGGACGAACGTCCCCACTAATCAGGCGGGAAACCTAGATTCTGGCGGGAAGTGCATTTAATGCTGAAGATTTGGTAGTTGGGACACCAGCGGTCCACAGGCTGCCACGTCAGTACAGCCACCTGCCCATTGGTGGGTATAAATAGAAGCATTTATTTCATTGTAAAGGGTTGGCAACTTTCTATTCTTAGCATACTAGCTTCAGCATTCTTACTGGCAGCATTTCTAAGTGCCTTGTAAGACGAACGGCCGACGTGCCTTTTTAGCAAGTAGATTGTATTTAGGGGAGTTATTACGAAGTTAATAATACCTACTTACATTGCCTGCTATTTCTCTTGTTTCCTGATCCATCTGAAAGTTGTTGGGCTAGATATCCACACACTCACTCCACTCGAAATCTTTGGGCTTACGTGTTGGGTCCAAGGGTTGAAGGAATAAACCTCAACACTGGCGCCGTCTGTGGGAAACTGAGCAAAAAGTTTCCAGAAACTCTCCCAAACAGCTACCAAGTCTACCTACAGCAAACACGATGTCAGGAAGCAACAACCAGCGTGATCTCTCCGAGCGTCTGGAATCAAGCCGCCGGAATCGCGGCCAGAACTCGGAACTATCCGCAACAATATGGACCTCCGGGGGAAACGGGGGTATCACTGACCTCATTCCTCTGGAGGCCAGGCAGGATCCTCGCCTCATGCGGGAACTCGCAGACACCATGCGTCGCTTGGCAGACGAGCGGGAGGCCCGAGACCAGGTGTACTCTGCAAGTACCCAGCGAACGCCCCTCTCTCCCATACGCCGCATGCAGTCGTATGACGATACGACAGGATCCAGCGACCACCGGCCCTCAGTCCACGAGCGGCTAGGTGGGGGTTCAGGCTCCCGTGGAACGGGAGGGCGAACCAGAGTCAGCATCATTACATCCAGGGCTCACACACCATCAGTCCCCCGCCAAATCCCGCGGGGAGACGAGACCCCGAGGATCAACACCGTTGGACGACGTTTCCAACGGCGAGGTGCGCAGATCTTTAGGCGGCCGCACGATGCTGTGGCCGCTCAGCAGAATGCCGTCCCCGAAGCCGCGCCCCCTGAGTCCCCCGGAAGGGCCGCACAGGATGCAAGGTTGGAGGCCATGGAAAGGCAGATAGCCGAGATGAATAGGCGGGCGGACGTTGGCTCGGCCACACCCTCTTTCTCTCTCACGTCTCCCTTTACTCCACGGGTGATGAGCGTCGAGATTCCCCGAGACTGCAGGCCCCCGGGCAACTTGGTGTACAATGGGGCTGGCGATCCCAAGGCCCATCTGATAAGCTACCAAGGGAACCTGTCCATGCTGGGAGCATCAGACGAGGCCATCTGCAGATTGTTCTTCAGCACCCTCAGGGGGCCGGCGCAAGAATGGTTCGGCCAGTTGAGGCCAGGCACCATCGACTCATACGAACAGCTCTCCCAGCAGTTCATGGCGCAGTTTGCTGCCAGCACCACCCCCAGGAAGGACGTCACGGCTCTCGCCCACATCAAACAAGGGCGGGACGAACCGCTGGCTAGGTTCCTGGTAAGGTGGAGGGACGAGGTCCTACAGGTCGACGATCTGGACGAACGTCTGGCCACCAACATGTTCACCAGTGCGCTGGCCACAGGGGATCTGTACCGGGACCTAAGGAGGAATCCCGGCACCAGCTACACCGAGGTTCTTGCTCGGGCCCAGAAGTATGCCTCCATTGAGGAGGAGATCAGGCAGCGGGACGGAGTTCCCGCGGCCCACCCACGGAAGATGGCGGACAGGCTCGGGCCCGGGCCGGGACCCGGGCCCTCCCCCCCAAACAAAAAGAAGAGGACAGACGGGGCGATGGTCCCCTGGAAGGCTCCGTCCGGGGATACTCAAGCACGGCCGGACGACCGCTATGTCCCATTGGCCTATCCAGTGAGCCAAATCTTTGAGGCCATCAAGGACAAGGGCCTCCTAACGGAACCCCAGGATATGAATAAGCATATGGGGCACGACCAATCGGCCTACTGTGAATACCATCAGAGGACCGGCCACCTGACGGATAATTGCAGCCAATTAAAGAAAGCGATCGACGAGCTGATCTGTCAGGGATACCTGGGCGAGTTCACCCAGCTGCTGAACAAAAACAGCCAGCAGAAGCCGAACTCAAGGCACAAGACATGGCGCCGCGACGATCGGCGCGAGGCAGAACCTCAGGACGTGGATTATCGAAGTGCAGATAAACGTCCGGAGGGATCCCTCGGCCCGAAGGGCAAGAAGAAGAAATTGGAGATCAAGGTGATCTTCGGGGGCGCTGAGACAGGGGATACACCCGCCGAACGGAAAAAATTTGAGAGGTCACTCTATGTGGGTTCCGTATCAGCACCCCCCACCAAGCGCAATAGAGTCGAGGCAATTACCTTCGGCCCCGCTGACCTGCCAATGTCACCGGCGCCGCACAGAGACGAGCTGGTGATCAGCATGGACGTGAACGATGCTATCGTCCGTCGCGTCCTCGTTGATACCGGGAGCAGTGTGAACGTCCTCTACTGGGAGGCTTTCGAAGGAATGAGGCTCCGGAAGGACATGTTGCACCCCCTACGCACCCCGCTGTCCGGCTTCACCGGGGATTGCATTGACGCTGAGGGCACCATCATTTTACCGGTAGAGGTCGGCGACGGCCCTCACACTGCCCGGATCAGCGTGACGTTCGTCGTGGTCCGCCTAAAGTGCGCCCACAACGCCATTTTGGGCCGACCCGGCTTGGAAGACTTGGGGGCCATATGCTCCGTACGACATTCATGCATCAAATTCCCCACCGACACTGGAGTGGGGGTGGCACGTACGGACCCACATATGGCCAGGGCCTGCTACACGAAGGCCATGGAGAAGCTCAACGAGCGGGAGGCTCGGGTCAACAGCATCTCCGAAAAGGCCAAACAGGCCGACTTGGACGCTCATCTGGAACCGGCAACTCTGCTAGAGGAAATTGAACTCGACGATCCGACGGACAGGAAAGTGTCCATTGGTGCGGATCTAGAGCCGGAAATCAGGGCAGGGGTCATAGCCGTCCTCCGGAGGTTCAGGATCTTGTTCGCCAGAGGGCCGGAGGACATGCCGGGCATCGACCCCAGCCTCATATGCCATAAACTCGCCGTGCGGCCGGATGCCAAGCCTATACAACAGAAGAAGAGATATATGGCGGCCGACCGACGCGATTTCATCAGGAAGGAAACAGCAACTCTCCTCAGCATCGAACATATCCGGCCGGTCATCCACGTGGAGTGGTTGGCCAACGTGGTACTAGCCCCAAAGGGCGACACTTGGCGGATGTGCGTCGATTATTCGGACCTCAACAAAGCTTGTCCGATGGACCCTTACCCTGTCCCGAGGATCGACCTGCTGGTGGATGAGACAGCAGGCTGCGAGCTGCTCAGCTTCATGGACGCATTCAGGGGCTACCATCAGGTGTTCATGCACCCCGATGATGCCGAAAAAACGGCGTTCGTTACGGCGGACGGCGTGTATTGCTACATCGTCATGCCGTTCGGCCTAAGGAACGCCATGGCTACTTTTCAGAGGATGATTGGGATGTTGTTCAAAGACGTACTTGGAAAGACAATGGAAGCTTACGTGGATGACATCCTGATCAAAAGCAAGAAAAAGGAGGACCATGTCCAGGACATGGAGAGGGTCTTCAGCATCATGGAGAAGGCCAGCATGAGGCTCAATCCGAAGAAGTGCGCCTTCGCCGTCAGGGGCGGCAAGTTCCTCGGCTACATGATGAGCGAGCGGGGGATCGAGCCTAACCCGGAGAAGGTGAAGGCGATTATGGACATGGAGGCCCCAAAGAACCTAAAAGACGTGCAGCGGCTCACCGGGCGTCTGGCGGCCCTGAGCAGATTCTTGTCCAAGCTGGCTGATAAGGCAATCCCCTTTTTTCAGATCATGAAGAAGGCCAATCCCTTTCAATGGACCCCGGAGTGCCAAACTGCTTTCGAAGATTTCAAGGTATATCTCTCCTCTCCGCTCGTCCTCACCAAGGCAGATCCCGGGGAGAGATTATACATGTACTTGGCAGTAGCCGATCTGGCCGTAAGTGCCGTGCTGCTGAAGGAATCTGAAGGCGTTCAGCGGCCAATATACTTTGTAAGTAAGGCGCTGAACGGTCCCGAGACGAGGTACACACTGATGGAAAAGACGATCCTCGCCTTGATCGCATCCATCAAGCGCCTGGCACCGTATTTCCAAGCACACCCGGTGACTATCTACACGACGCAGCCCCTCGCCACAGTCCTCAGGAACCCAATGGCAAGCGGAAGGATAACGAAGTGGTCCTTGATGATCGGCCAGTATGACGTGGACTTCAAGCCGAGGCCGACGATCAAAGGGCAGGCTCTGGCGGACTTCATTGCGGAATGCACCGCGCGCACCGAGGACGCAACCCATGACAACAATGACTTTGACGATTGGTGGGAGATGTACACCGATGGGGCCTCGAGTGCGCGGGGCTGCGGCGGAGGAGCAGTGATCACTTCCCCCGAAGGTTTCAAAGCCTACTACTCTATGAAATTTGAGTTCAAGGTCACCAACAACGAGGCTGAGTACGAGGCGCTTATCGCAGGGCTGAAATGCGCGAAAGCCCTCGGAGCAGCTCGTCTGAAGGTGAGAATGGACAGCCAGCTGGTGATAACCCAGATGAACGGCACTGCAGAAACCAGGGTAGAGAGAATGAAGGTCTACAAAGAGCTGGCGGAGGAACAGACCGCACAATTTGAGCAGGTGGTGCTTGAGCAGGTATCGCGGGTGGAGAATGCAGAGGCGGACATTCTGTCAAAACTAAGCAACCCCCCAACCGATGACCCGGCATCAAGCATCCCCCGACACATCAGAGGCTTCGTTAGGCAGGAGGTATTCCCAGCACCGGCGACGGACGTCATCCAGGTGGAGATTATCTCCGTTGCCGAACCTAACTGGGCAAAGGAGATAGCAGATTATCTCAGAGATGGGACACTCCCTGAGCCTGAAGGTGATGGCAGTACAGGAAGAGCCGCGTGGATAAAGAGGCGTGCCCCTAACTTCGAACTCATTGATGGGCAACTTTACAAGAAGACGTTCGGCGGACCCTACCTCAGGTGCCTCCCGCCGAGCCTGGCAGCAGCGGTAATCGAGGAAATACATGAAGGGATCTGCTCCAGCCACCAGGGCCCCCGAACCTTGGCCAGGAAAATCATCCTGCAGGGCTATTACTGGCCGACCATACAGCAAGATTGCTTCAACCACACGCGGAAGTGCGCAGTATGCCAGCAGTATGCACCTGTCCCTGGCCGCCCAGCGAGTTTCTACACCCCTATGACCATCGCGCTACCGTTTGCTAGGTGGGGCGTAGACCTGCTGGGTCCTCTGCCAATGGCTGCTGGTGGAAGGAAGTTCGTCATTGTGGCGGTTGACTATTTCACGAAGTGGGTCGAGGCCGAACCATTGGCCTCCATCACTGAATTCCAGTGCCAGAAGTTCGTCTGGCAGAACATCATTTGCCGCTTCGGGATCCCGGAGCAGATCATCACAGACAACGGTCGGCAGTTCGTCGGGCAGCGTCAGAGGCCGAAGAATTGGAATCCGATGCGGGGGCGTTCTTGGCCTTCATCAGTGCGGCTTTAGCAGCGGCCGCCTTGGCCTTCCTCGTTTTCAGGCACTCAGCGTGATTCATCTGAGCTCTGTCTGGCGGAGAACCTGCAGGAGAACGATAAAGGGTTAGAAGACGAATAGAGAATGCAAAAGGACACTCACCTCGAAGGACAGGACCGCCCGGTGCCCCGAGACGAGCGTCGAAGGGTGGAAGGAGTCCAAGGACACGGGCGGTACCTATGCCTGCCCCCGAGAGTGCCTCGAAGGTCAGATAGCCAGCTATGGGGCGAATGCCGCCCTGAAGGATGCCTTCCACGGCCTCACTCAGATCGTCGGTCAACTCCGGCGACTCTATCTTCGGGGGATAGCCATTCCAACGAACTGGGAGGGGAGGACCATCATGGCGAAGGAAGAAGAACCGGTTTTTCCAGTCATGGATGGAGGAGGGGTAGCTCTTAAACAGCCTCCTCCCCGGACGAGCGGCCACGCTCAGATACCCGTCGGAGTTCTGGGGAGTGATCCGGTAAAAATAGTGGAACAGATCCAGGCTGGCTTCGACCCCCGCAAGTTTGCAGCGCACCAAGAAGGCCGATATGAACCTATAGGAGTTTGGCATGAATTGCGCCGGGGCCACTTGGAAGCAGTGGAAGAACTCCACATAAAATGCGTGAAGGGGAAACCGCAGCCCAGCTTCGACGGAGTCCAAGTGAAGCATGATCATCCCTGGACGTCTCCTCATCACGTGCTCGGCGCCCCTCACGCTCCAGACGAACGGCGGGGGGAAGAAGGTGCGGATTTTGTTGAGGGCCACACGGGAGAGGACCTGGTCATGGTCAAGGGCGCTCCTGATCGGGCAGATGTGGCGCTCCATATCCGTAGGGATGCCCAGGTCATACACCTCCATATCGGAACCAGATTCGGCCTCCTCTCCAGAATCATAATCAGCAGGACGCTCATTCAGGGGGACTGCGTCAATAACATCTACTGCCCCGTCAGCGCCCCCGTCCCCGGCGTCGCTCCCACTACTTTGAGACACATCATCCGGCTCGCCATCAGCCCGGATGGACCCCACCGTCGTGGCCGAACCAGAGGTCCCGGAAATACTGGCCCTTCCGGGGGAGCGCGCACTCACATTGTCTGAAGAGGAGCCCGAGGAGGAACCCGACGAACCGGATTCAGAACTTGACGAAATCTCCATCGAAGTCATGTCGGCTAGGAATCAGAACAAGAAAAGAAGCAGAGGGGGAGAATTACCTTACAAGGGGGTTAGCCGAATTCGGAAAGAGAGAAGAAGACTTGAGGAGCTGCGAAAAGTCGAAAGCAAGAGGGCAGAAATTGGGAACCCTAATTCAGAGGGAAAACCCGACATTTATAGCAGAAATACCGATGGGGAGACCAACGAGGAGCTGACACGTGGCAAGGAGCGTATTCCGGCCCACGCGCTGTGCGTGGGATGGGAACGTAATGATGGCACTTCCTCGGGAAAATGCGCCGCCGCAACATCAGCCGTCACCTCGTTCCCTGAACCGTCAACAGCTGTCAAGCACCATGACCACGAGCGTACGCTTCCCACGGGTGCAGAAAACACAAAGTATCAAGACACGAACGTCTACCTTGAGGGGATTCCTACTTCCTTATGTCCTGCGCGAGCCCAGAACATCAGAAGTGGGGGACTTGTGTTGGGTTAAGGGCCCAAGCCGAGGTCCGGCCCACTAACCCATATTGCCAGACGCACGTCCAGTTAGAACACCAGGCCATCCCACAGGCCCACGTCCCTTGAGGATGGACGAACGTCTGATGTGGGGGGCTCAGGCCCAGCAAACTCATCCCGACGAACGGCTGTACGGGGACAAGGAGCAGGACCACGGGCCACCAGGGATGGCGACGAACGTCCCCGGGGCGAGCCTGTAGTCATCGGAGGGGACCCAGTTCACATGGTGAATATCTACAAGGCCAGGAGACGAACAGCCGATATCTTTCGAGGGTCACTTGGAGCAATCCAACTCACTTCCCGGGAGGACGAACGTCCCCACTAATCAGGCGGGAAACCTAGATTCTGGCGGGAAGTGCATTTAATGCTGAAGATTTGGTAGTTGGGACACCAGCGGTCCACAGGCTGCCACGTCAGTACAGCCACCTGCCCATTGGTGGGTATAAATAGAAGCATTTATTTCATTGTAAAGGGTTGGCAACTTTCTATTCTTAGCATACTAGCTTCAGCATTCTTACTGGCAGCATTTCTAAGTGCCTTGTAAGACGAACGGCCGACGTGCCTTTTTAGCAAGTAGATTGTATTTAGGGGAGTTATTACGAAGTTAATAATACCTACTTACATTGCCTGCTATTTCTCTTGTTTCCTGATCCATCTGAAAGTTGTTGGGCTAGATATCCACACACTCACTCCACTCGAAATCTTTGGGCTTACGTGTTGGGTCCAAGGGTTGAAGGAATAAACCTCAACAGGCATTAATAACTATTAACAATCCATGCAAATCACATTGTATCTTCATTTAGGAAATCTTATGAAATTAACCCAAAAATTATAAGCAATATAGTCGGTCATCCTCACCTTAAGTGAGCTTGAGCGCGTTCTACGCTTCTCGGTTGAACTTTGACTAATTCCGGCGAACTTTGACCAACTCCGGTGAACTTTGACCAACTCCGGCGAAACTCCGGCGAGGCTCAAAAATACTTAAATCAAGTTCCTAACAAGGTTTTAACACCATAAAACCTTAATCAATACAAATAACCTCTAAAGGTTATTTTCCGGTGAACTTGTCGGTTTGGCTTCTAAATCCGCTCTTGGACTTAGAACCACTTTCCAACCCATCATTCTACACTCTTTTCATGTAGAATAATCCCAAAGGTTCTCCATATGATATATATCTCATATGATTGAAGGAAAAATAAAGAAAAAGTTATGATAATGTTATTACCTTAATCTCCACACTTTTAGCACCTAAATTCCTATCCTTGAGGTCCTTCCTTGTTGAGCTCTCTTCAACAATGGAGAAAGGAGGATGATGAGCTCCTTGTCCTTGCTTGATGGGTGCTGGCCGCAGGAATGGGGGGAGAGATGAGTGAGGGGTGTGGTTTTGTCTCAATGAACAAATGAGTGTGGAGAGGGGTCCAACTCATTTTGTTTGATGCCAAAGCTTTCATCTCAAAAATCCCCTCCCATCAACTCCTATCCTACCAGCCGGCCCTCCACTCCATTTTCAATACAAAATTCGTGGGTTGGCCCCCACCCATGTGGGAGGTCAACCCTTTTTGCCCAAAAGTGTACAATCAGTCCCGAAAGTTGTATTTTTCGGACTGTTTTAAATATATTTTATTTTATCGGTTCAAATAAAATATTTTATGTGTTCTCCATCATCATGACCCTTATAATGAATATTCATTCCCCAACTTAAATTTATAAGTCCCCGAAATTCAATTTCGGGCATTTATCGGTTAAATTGCCAATACCGGTATTTGGGCCTCTTTTGACCAATCGGTCAACTCTGGACCATTCCATGGCTCAAATGAATTATCCACCACCATATAAACATTATCTAGACCAAAATGAATAGTTCATGTGGTCCCGGGAATATCAGGCGGCCCCCCGCTCCCGGTGCGGCCCCACGTGCGAATTTACTATTTGTGCAAAGGAATTAATAAAAATTCGGGACATCGTAAATTCATTCACCATTTCAATAAGGTTAAAAATACAATATTCACTTAAAAGCAAGTACATTTGGGGACGGTGTTACAAATTATGCTGGGTATCATAATTCAAAGATATCTAATTCTCGTAAGTATAAGAGTAGGGGTGGACTCGGGCCGGTTCGGGCCCGGTTCGGGCCTGGGCCCGGCTGGGCCTCGGGCCAGGAAAGTTGGGCCCGAGCCCGAGCCCGAACCGCCGGTGGACGGTTCCGGTCCCGGTTCCGGGCCAAACCGGGCCGGGCCTAACCGGTTCTATTTTTTTTTTTGGCTCTTCTAATTAACCCCCAACCCCTCCCCCTCAACCCCAAACCACCTCAAATGGCCCAAAACACCTAATCCAACCCAAAACTTAAAAAAAAAATCAAAAAAAAAAATTAAAAACCGGCCCGAACCGGGCCCGAACCGGCCGGGCCGGTTCACAAAAAACTGGGCCCGAGCCCGAACCACCCAGCAGCCGGGCCGGGCCAAACAGTAACCGGGTCAGGCCGGTTCCGGGCCGGGCCGCCCGGCCCGAGTCCACCCCTATATAAGAGGGAAAGTAGCCCTACCGAACATAATGATCGTTATTAAATCGTGATATCTAATTCTCATAGTGAGACTAAAGGTAAAGGAAGTATCTTTAACACCATAGATGATGAACATCATCTACGCCTAAAATGATACCTTTGGGCCTTGTTTGGTTCAAAAGAGGGGAGGGGAGGGGAGAGTCAATGAGGGGAGGGAAGGGAAGGATTTTGATAAAAAATTGTGTTTGTTTGTAGGAAATAGGAAGAAATGTTTTAAAAAAATATTTTCTCAATTTACCTTTATTTGATAGCTTACTTAAAAAATAGATACATCTTTAACTATTGTGAATATTACTCATATGGTCGACTCATAATATAATTTTATGGGAAAATGGTCAGATATGCCCTTATATAGGAGGCTTTGTCGAGCCGTCTCCATTTTGGGCGGTTACCAGTGGAATTTTTTGATCAAATTTTTTGATTTTCTTATTCATTAAGTCTAGTTTACTCATACCAAATTTCAGCTAAAACTTTAATTGGGAAGACATTCAAATGAATTCTTAAATGTCTTTTTATGTAAGTTCGAGGACTTATTTGACCATTTTCCATAATTTTATTGATATTTTTACTTTTTTAATTTTTAATTTTTAATTTTTTAATTTTGTAATTTTTTTTTTATTTAATAATTTTTTAAGTTTTTGATTTTTTAATATTTTTTAATTTTAAAAAATTTTTAAGAATGAAAATAAGAAATTGGAGAACAAAAACAGAAAAGAAATTTGAAAAATACCTCTAATAGTAAATCTATTCATTCGGAGCATTTCGTATTTATTATCACCTTTACAAAGTACTCTCTGTAACATTTATATCTTCCAACTTTCCTTTTTTTTATGTAACATTCATATCTTCCCATTTCATAATCTTCCAATCATATCCTCAATAATTTTAAAAATAATACACTATTACACCTACTTTTTTGGATTTATCCTTTATTCCAACACATTATTTCACTATCTTCCCATCATACCCTCAATAATTTATATCCTCTTTCACTATTCTTAATCTACCTACTTTTCAAATGGGAACATATATATGTTACGGGGGAGTATGTTATAGACTATAGAGTAGAGCAATAATGAAAATTCATGGACAGTGCACAAATGGCTGGATCGTGGCTAAGTTTGCATTATTACATCATTGTATGTATAAACCCGAGTTAGAATATAATTCATCATGGCTCCGCGTTTTTAAATTAAGTTTTAGTTCACGCTTTAGTTGTATTAACTCCAGAAAGCGGGGATTTCCTCCTCATCTAGCAGACTTCGTGCAAGCAGCAGCCCAGGTTTGTCCATCCCGGTCCAGCACTGGTCAGAGTTTTTCATGGGTTTTACTCAAGTAACAGACCAGCACAAATCCAGCCTGGAGTCATTAACGGGGCACGTTCTGATTATTTACATAGGAGGAAACTGAATCGCCCTTGACTTCAAACTTATATTATTCGAGCATTTCGTATTTATTATTACCAGCTAAAGAACCTAACAGTACAATATAGTTCCTCTTTCTCCAGCTTGTAAGACGGAGTATTATTTTTCCTCTTTAAAGTTCACATATATAATTTCCACATTAGCTCACTTAGATATAAAGCACATCAACACAACCCACAGAAAAGATGGAATGAGGCCCAATCTCCAATGACGGCTGATCTTAGAGGCGAGACTTTGCCATGTCCTTTTTCAAACTCTGCAACATACATCATTTATCATCAAAAAGAGAACATAAGCTGTCAAAATAATGGGAAATATACAACTGTACAACATTGGTTAAATTTCTATTGGATAATATTGCTATAACAAACAGACTCACACAGCGTAGAGCCAAAAACAGACTCACACAGCGTAGAGCCAAACATAGACAAAGAACGTTCTTTGTCTATGACCCTTGGGAACTCAAATGTGAAGAAGACTAGTGGATTTCAAAACTCAAACCGTGTTTTCAGAAGTCTGGGGAAATTTCAGACCGGCTCAAAAACCAGAGCTGATTTAGAAAATGGTATTTAAGTGAGCTCATCCTGTTGTGCTAGTTTGATGTTTTCAATCGTGTTGGACAGTATCACGTTTTTGCGCAGGCAAATAAACCTTGTTCTCAACGCACAAAAATATGTGAGGCCCTTGAAAGTTGGTTGGAATTTTTATAAGAAATAATGGAAAATATATGACAAAAAAATGGATGACAATGTGACTTTTTATACGGATTAATCATAGTGGTATTTTCACATTGATGATCATGGTGATATTCAATTTTACAGTAACCACAATACTTGTTTAAGCGACTATAATGACTGAGCAGTAGCTCAGTCATATTTATATCCATGTTCAATTTCACTAATATAAAGAACAACTCCCACTTTATAATGTGTAAGAAAGGCAGGGTTCGAAACTTTTTGGGCTACATTAATGGGGAAATTGTCATTATCGGCTAGTATCATCACTTTTGTGGCATCACTTTTCTCTTTTATCACAAAGGCATAATATGTTGAAGCTGAATCACAAATAGTTAATAGTTTGCTATGCAACATGCAAAAAAAACTTGATACTGACCAGAGGGGCATCCACAACGGCTCGGTCAGCCAGGTAAGAGCATGGTTCAAAGAAACCACCATATATCTTTGACCACTCATTCAACTTGGAGTAAATATACTTGGACCCGAGAGTGTCTGCCCAAAACAAGATCCCTCCCCTGGGTTGATAACAAAATGTTGTGAAAAAACAAACTCTGCATGATCTAATAAGCAACAGATTATTGGAAAAATTGACAGACCTATAAGGTGGGAAACCCATGCCCATGACGGCAGCAATGTCCAAATCAGCAGCTTTGGTCGCAATGCCTTCAGAAAGTACTCTACAGGCTTCGTTCACCACAGGCAAAAATGTCATCTCCACTATATCCTTATCCGAAAGTTTTGTCAACTGAATCAATGTCACATCACACTTAAGTTAAGGGAACATATATATAATGTTACTAACATATACTACCTCCGTAACATTAGAATCTTCCCAAATGGAAAGTTGGTGAAATTATGAATAGTGATAGGGGATATAAATTATTGAGGGTATGATGGGAAGATAATAAAATAGTGTGGTGGAATGAAGGATAAATCCAAAAAAAGTAGGTGGAATAGTGTATTATTTTTAAATTTATTGAGGGTATGATGGGAAGGTTTAGAAATGAGAAGATTATTTAGTTACGGATAAAAAAGGAAAGTGGGAAGATCTTTCTGTTACGGAGGTAGTACTACCTTTGTCCCAATATGTTGGTGAATAAATTGGTGAAAGTGTCAAAGTGTCAAACACATTAAGACGGAGGGAATATCGTACAGTATGGTACTATGGTTGGGCGGGATTGAGATGAAAATACCTTCGGGTCAATGGTAACACCAGCCATCTCTCTTGCCTTCTCAATATATTTCTTTATTTCAGGATCTGGGTTGGCTTTGCGCCTTTCATCATAAACATAAAATCCTCTACGAGTGGCTTCACCTAAAACATTCACAAGACAAATATGATCAACAGCTTGAAATGTTAAATTGTTCTGGATTAGGAACCAACAATGGTACCTCCCCTTTTGTCTTCTTGCATGAGTGGTATCAACATTGATTTATATGTCCTTTCCGGAAAATTCATCACATATTGACCTCCAGTTGCAACTGCAACGCCAAAGCCAACGAGGTCGCACAATCTGCAGAGGTATATAGCAAAATCATTCAGCCCATATTTTAACAAGTATTAAGGCTTGAATTTTATCCTAAAAGTCAACTTGATACGAAATGTAGTCAAAGGCCTTATGCAAGGTTTTGTATCTGTATTTGGCCGGTGTGATAAGGCTTAACATGTACTTGGAAATGAGAGCCTCAT